GAGAATAGTTGAAGAATTAGGGATAAGTAAAAGATCAGTAAGAACCCAGATCAAGCAAAGGCATGCAAAGAAGTTAGAAGGAAGGTAGGATAAATGTGTCTTCATATGTAATTTAGAAATTTACAAAAAAATATATAGTCATACAAAATCAGTAATGTAAGTGTTCGAAAAAGACATTGCTGTTTTGTTATACCCCCACTCCGAAGGAGAGGGGGGTATACTGTTTTAACTTTGTGTGTTTGTCTGTCAGTCCGTCTAGCTGTCTGTGTGTCTGTCCGTAACAAATTTTGGTCGCAGTTTTCTCAGCAATTACTCATCACAGATGCTTGAAAGTTTAGCACACTCTTTGTTTAGGCATGTCATATGATGGGATTTATTTTTGTGAGAATCCGATGTCAACTTCCTGTTTATCCGTGCGTCTGTCCGTGCCAAACATAACAGATTTTGGTCGCAGTTTTCTCAGCAATTACTCATCACAGATGCTTGAAAGTTTAGCACACTCTTTGTTTAGACATGCCATATGGTAGGATTAATTTTTGTACGAATCTGATGTCAACTTTCTGTTTATCCCTGCGTCTGTCCGTACCATGCATAACAAATTTTAGTAGCAGTTTTCTCAGCAATTACTCATTGCAGATGCTTGAAAGTTTAGCACACTCTTAGTTTAGGCATGCCATATGGTGGGATTTATTTTTGTACGAATTTGATGTCATCTTTCTGTTTATCCCTGTGTCTGTCCATAAATGAACATGTTTATTTATATCAGGGCGGGGGTATTATTAGTGAGCATTGGCTCACAGACTTCTTGTTTAAATTGGTTTTTTTTTTTATCTTTTAAAGGTATTTTCTGATATTTTGGGGAAAATACATTACTATTTACTCAATGTTAAGCCTCATCATCCCTGACACGATCTTCTTCTGGAAGGAAGCAGGCAATGTCACTGAGGTGATTTATCAAGACTTTTGGCGAATTCACAGACTTCTTTACAAATATTCTTCCATCGTTTGTCCAATATGAGCCTTTTTTGTAGTAACGCACCTTGGATAGTGTTTGAATGATTTGTTGTCGAGAGCGGGTAAGGTCCTCAGAATTAAAAATTTTACTTTCGATGCCTTGATTTTTTAACTCAGATTTTGCCCCGTAGATCCTATTTCTCATTTTCCAGATGTTGAATTTACAAATAATTTGGGCTTTTCCGCTTTGGGTGGATCCAATTATGTGGGACCTGTTTATATCATCTGGACTGATAGAGGGAGATAACTTCAATTTTTCGTTGCAAATTCCAACAACAATTTGATCGGTGTTGTTGATTTCAGATGTAGTCATTAGGACCCAATGGAACCTTAATGAGTTTCTTCTCCAATACTGAAAGAAGTTGAAGTTAGATCTTGAATAACAGTGTCAATATTTGTAGTGAGTAACAGAATTGATTCAGTTAATAGTGTCCCAAATTGTGGCAAAAGGGCTGGAATAAAGGATGATGCAGCTGATTAAATGAAATAAGCGCTGTTGATCGTGGAATGTAATAATTCTGAGATATTGAAGGTTTTACCCTGGTGTGACATTATCATTGGAGATATATTGCCTTTTTGGGCAGAAGCTAAATTGTCAAAAGAGTTTCTTCGTCGTAGAGGCGAGGGAGCACCCACATGATCCGCCACCTCAGAGGGGCTCACAGTTTGATCAACATTTCTCTTTAAGCCATGGGTTGTTGGTGTTTAAGGTGAATTGTTGATATTGATCATGTTGTATATTTGCTAGTTTTTGACTTAAATGTTCAAAGTAACGAGTTTGTATTAATCAAGATCAACTCGTTATACATGTGGTGAGCAGGTGAATACTACTCATAGATGGTGGTGCATTTAAAATATTTTAGTTTCAAGAAAGCACTGTTGCAAAAGGTGAGTGAGTGAGGGGGGGGGGGTGGTATCATATACTGAAGAACTGTATACAGTGTATATTCTGAAGAACTATTATTGTATATGTTCTGCTCAAAGTTAAGGGTTTATTATTTTCACACCACTCCGTTTATGTATCATACACGACCGTTTACGGTAGCTCAGTCGGCAGAGTGCTCGCTCCGTGATCGGGAGGTCGTGAGTTCGAATCTCGGCCGCGACAGACCTAAGTCGATAAAAAATAGCAACTGTTCCTTCGCCATGCGCTCGGCACTTTGAAGTGAAAGTTGCGGGTCCTTCGGATGAGACCTTAAAAACCGAGGCCCCGTGTCAAGGCAGGCGTTGGCACGATAAAGATCCCTCACTGCTCAATGGCCCTGAGTGCCGAGTAAAGGTCAAAATTTGAAGCCCTTCACCGGTATATGGTGACGTCTCTCTATGAGTGAAAAATTCTCGAATGGGACGATAAACAACATACAATCAATCAATCAATGTATCATACACAATCATACATTTCCAGCGCTTGAGGTAGTGTGTAATTCAGTTCCTTCTTAAGCATTCTTCCTATATACATGTGTGCATTAACGCCATATTATCTTAAATATTCTCATACATATATAACATATCATATCATTTATGTTTAAAGGTGTGTTACATTATATGTTAAATAAATTATTTAATTATGAATGTTACCTGTGGACTAAATTGAGAGTATTTACAAGTTAAACAAACAAAATTTCACACAGTTACGTTATCATGTCATATTAATTTCTTTCAAATGTTATCCATATGTATATACATTCCACTTGTATTCCTGTTATTTGAGATACTATAAGTATCTTTACCTGAATGTTTACTTTTCAATAAGTTTTCATTCTTCTGATGAGTGGCAAAGAAGTTAAGATAAAAAAATCTTGATTTTTTGTATATAAAGTCTTTTAAATGTAAGGTAATGAAATATTACGATATCCCCCCCCTTTTTTTTGTAAATCCCGGCCCTATAGGTTACCTCTTTTGGAATTCTGAAGTCATCCCTTTAATCAATCTCTGTACATTAAATTTTGTGATGAATTTTAAGGTCTTAAGTCGAGATACCTTGTGCACTTGAATTAGGCTAGTCCTTGAATTAATTAGTGCGCGCTTTAATTAATACTTTCTTTTTTGAAAGAAGAGAAGAAACTGCTTACAAAAGGGCATTGAACAACGGTATCTCTGCTTAAGAGAATTCATATGTCACTAATAAAGAACAATAATAATATGTCAGCATAATGAATTGATCAAGTATCAGGCTCAGGATGAAGGGATCTTTATTGAATAATGCATGATTGTAATATGAATTTTCTCGATCGTCTTAAACAGTGTACTTGATTAAAAATTAAACAGTCATCCAACTACACCTGTACCTTTACATGTATATGAATTTGTGTCCCTTTTGTTACAGACTGGGCTTCTGGGATTATCTTTTAAACATGACCAGAGTGAATTTGGTTTCTATAGAGGATTGAGAAAAGTATTAAATATGTGATAATCCCAATTTCTCGAATAAAAGAAATAGCAAAAAGAGTAAATATTACATTGTTTATTAGCAAAATCCAACATAATTATGTATATATAGATACAGAGAAAATCTATTGATATGATGACGATAACAATTCATACTGTTTCACACTACTTTTACAAAGACTGTACAAGCAAAACACACACACACCCATACCCACACAAAACAACTTACATACAAACATCGGGTAATATAATATAGTTCATAGTTTAAAAGTAAAATCACACAAAAATACAAGCGCAATAAAAATATGAATAATGATACTATTGACTGAAATGATTTACATGAAATAGAAAGACTGAAACTCTGGTCCCCTGGATCAGTGACAATCTGAGATTCCGGCGACGCGACCTGGCTTAATAAATCTTAAATTAAAAAGAAAGATTTTTACTACTGGATACTGAAGAAACTGATTGGGTGATTATAAATAGGTTGAAACTTTTTTTAAAATGCATAATTCTAGTAGATAATATATATTTCTGGGGGGGGGGGGATTTAAAGTCGGGGGTTGCATATCATTAAATTTTAATAATGTATTTAACAATTTACCCAACCCTGACAAATGAAAGCAGTTCTACATATATATAGAAATCATGTTTATCTCCCACAAACTAAGTCGTATCTTTGAAAGAGACACTTGGTGGTTCGTTCCATCTATTACCCAAATACATGTATTTAAGAAAAGATCAAGGTATTCAGTATGAAAACCGATTCTATAACGGGGAGGGTTTCTTTTTTAATAAAGGAAACATAAAGATCTCACTCTATAAAAAGTTGATTTTTCATTATTCCTATCAATAGGTACATGTATGTTAAGTGATTCTGAGCATAAATGCATGCTTGTGGCATACATGTAGATAATTTTTGTCTGTAGAATGTGCTGAAAGTTGTATTTCGGAGCTCCTCGGGTGGCTCGTGCCTTGCACACTAACCTCAGACGTGAACAGTATTTTACCATTTCTGCAAAATATGAGGCAATTCGGCGGAGGAATGCATCGATTTGACGCATATTCCTCCACCAATCACATCCGAGTTTTGTATGGAGCATAGCGAGTCAGCCGAGGATTGCTGATTGGAAAGTTGTGCATTATGATTCTCCATTGACTTTTAAAAGCTGTTTTCGACTCGTAAATAGACATACTCCTTATTAGTTTTCCTATCTCCGATATCTGCATGTGGGTATACCCTTCGCATTCGTTACACCTGACCTTATCACTTGTACCTGCGTGGAAATGAACGACACTGTGCAATTGATGTAAGTTTCTTTGGTAACTTTCTCTTCTGCCGTGGAAAAAGCACACGGTTATTCTTGCTTCTACAGAGAGTTTTAGAATGGTGAAAACTGATGACACAGCACCGAGACCAAGTGAACGGCTTATATAGGGGCCGTACAGCTAACGGAAAATGAAAGGTAATATAGGAACAAACATACACTGTAGATTGCTGCCTTTTACGAATTGCATTCAGCTTTAAACGTTGCTTTTTTATTACACTTGATTAATTGATATCTTTCACAATGCTTGCCCCTGTCTACCACATCTTTGTATGCTGCTGTCCAGTTTCGTACTCACACAGGTCTGGGAAACTCTTCACCCTCATCAACAACACAACCCAATCTTGCATAATGATTGATAAGATTTTTCCACACGGGGTCACAGGATAGCAAATGTTTGTTTCCTGTAAAGATGAAAATCCTTATACATGTACAAATAGATATTATCTCTTATAAACATGAAAGTAAGATGATATCCTTTTTATATTTTTTTTATGGAATTTAATGAAAAAAAGAATTTCTTTTCAAAGGATACAAGATATTTAAACCATCTAACGAACTATAGAAGCTATAAAGTAGTTCGTATTTCATTTTCTTTGAAAATTATCCAAAACTTTTCCTTGAAACTGAGTATATGTATATTTAAAAAGTTACCAGGAACTATTTCAACTTGTGTAATTGTATATTCTTTGTGTTTCCTTTATGTTTAGATACTAACCTATGATAATAAGACCACGTCTTGCTCTGGTGAGAGCAACGTTGATTTGATGATCATCAGAAATGAAACCTAGACTCTTCTTGCGCCATCCCAAAGTAGGATTGCCTTCGATACGATAACGTGGTAAAGACCGTACTGTACTGAAAATTACGTAGTTCCATTCTCCACCTGTAAAAGGACCCAAGACATCCAAGCATTATACTATAGATTTGGTAGCATTAGTACTTCAAAAAAACTAAAATAACAAGTACATTTTTATACTGATAAAAAATAAACTTATGTCTGTAATCTGAACTTCTACTTAATAATTAATGGCAACTTTTCATCGCAAGCTTAATTGATATGTGTAAAACTACCAATTCCATACCCTGACTTGCTACTACTGTATTGACATTTATCCCCTCTGCTATACTGGACACAGCTAATCTTATCTGATGACACTGAGCATTATACTGGGACATTATATTCAGGTTTTCTTTGTCGGTAAGATCAAGTTTCTCCCTCTCAATCAAGTAAGTCAAAACTTTGACCTGCAAAACATTGCATTAAATAAAATAAGGCCATTCCAAGTTTTTTCTCCATTTAGCGTTCACCCATCTTTCAAAAACCTACCTACCTATTCGCAAAAAACACAAAAGCCAAAAAATTTATAAAAAAAAAAAAAACAGACCATAGTCTTTAAAATGACGTCATACAAAGCTTTTGATTTCATTATTCTATTTTTCTCGTAGAAAGATCTATTCTTTAGCAAAATAAATATACTGAATGCTTAAAATATACCTAATATGACATATTGTAGACAAATATTTAGAGATATTTACAGAATTAAAAGATTTTGACCAGAAAAATCAATTTCAGGACTCCTCATTTTGTTTGTTTTTTCTGATAAGAGGTGTCAAAAACCAAGGCACATGCGGACGCTAAACATAGAAAAAAAAATTGGAATGGCCTTATATTTAGATACATTTTTTCGATACTGTACTCTTATCCTGAAAATTCCCTTTTGAAAGAAATGCATATTTCTACCCATTTTCAAACTCTCGCTTGTTTCAAAATTGGCCTGGTTAAATAATACACAACCTTTCTGAAAAATTTCCTTTTCTCAGCTGTACTCACCACTTGGTCTACTTCTTGCTTATTGCTACAAGATTGCTCATTTCCTTCCTCAGTAGATACTGTCAGAAATTCCTCCTCTCCTTCTATATGGCAAAACACAATTGGTATCTTATCTCTGTTCACCCATATCTTCAAAGGGTTTGGAATGTCCCACTTTGGAGATGATTCCGTCAAAAGTCTTCCATCGTAAAATTCATTCGAGGGAAACGCGCATATCCCTGGGTGCTGTAAATATTATAACTAAAGTATAAAAATAATTTCAGACAATGAAGTAATTAAGTTGACTCCAAACACATGAATATACTTAAAAATACTTTAAAAACAATATATTGTAATTACAAACCATGCGGTATTGTATCCGAAGCATAGTTGCCCTCTCTGAATATCTTTCAAATAAAGATTTTTCAAGACCCAATTCTGCTGCATGAGAAGACTTTAACACAGGCCTAAGTTGTTTGTGGTCGCCTATAAGAACCACCTGCTTTGCTTTGGTGGCGATGACAGCGGCAACACTCTCTGGTTCTGTACACATCCCTGCCTCGTCTATTATTAATTGACGAATCTCTCCAGAGAGTGCCTTGATAAATCTTGGACTTGTAGCGACCGCGGTTGTGCAGAAAATAACGTGATGTTGCATTATTTCCATCTGTGTTGCCTCACTTGTCAATTTCCTGTACTTCTTTAAGTCAGCCAATGTGGGCTCGTATTCACCCAAATCGTATTTGCGAAACAGTTCATCGAATCGACGTATTTCCTCGGAAAAAGGTTTATCCTCTAACCGGATTAAATTATGCACAGATACGTCTTTCAGCGCTGGATCCGGTTTGTATTCCCTTGAAGAAGCTCTTTTTGAGAAATATTTACCAAGTATTGGAAATACTTTACACTCCAGAGAATTACCATATAGTCGAACAATATCTGGGCATTCCTTGTCATATTTCTGAAGCATCCACCCTAAAATCAGAAATAATTTTAGAGATTGTCCAAAGATATGCCACTTGTGTTAACCCCTTTAGTCTTTTAAACACGAAAAAATATAATTTTTTTTTTTTTTAAAGATTTAAGAATGTCAGTTCACCTTTAATTTTCCTTTTTTATGTACAGAATCTCCAAAAAATAAATAAATAAATATGAGGTTTAAAGGAAACTTACTGGCTACCATATCCACAGACTTGTTGTTTGGTCCGCAAAAAACGACATGCATTCTGGAGTGACCTTGCTCTTCCATTTTGGAATTAATTTTGTCAAATAGATAAACAAGTTTTATACCCGTGTGGGTTTTTCCAGTACCTTAAAAATCAAAACCAAATTTTGATCAATAAATCACATTTTTATACATGATTACCGTCTTCCTTGGAAGACGGTATACAGAGTTGAAGTATTTTACAGTCTTCGGACTTTGCACTTCCTATCTTTTGTGATTGGTTGAAAATACATGAAGTGAAAATTGTCAATTATTTCATTGGTTGAAATACTGTTCACGGCAGGGAAATAATTTTCTGGTAGTCTAATTTTCGTACGACTTAACAATTTTTCTAGATTTTCAATCTAAAAAAAATCGGCAAACCGAACAAAAAAATTGCAATAAATGAAACTGACACTCTAATTTTTTACAGCATCTATTAAAAAGTGTTTTTTTTTCTCAATTTTTAATGGTTAACAGAAATTGAGTGCAGACATTAAAATTTGTATCAATACTTTTTTCTTCCTTTGTTTTTGCATTGTCTTTTCTACGGTAGGGCGACGACAATTTGATTCGGCAAAAGGGGGGAGGGGGGCTGGCAACATTTTCCGAGTCAAATTGTTTATTTTCATGCCAGTCAAGGAGAGATTGTTTATTTTCAAGATGATCAAGGACAGATTATTTATTTCTTCTTCACTGAAAAAAAGTTTGTAACAAAACTGTTGACGAAATATGTAAAGCCAAGAACAACTAAAAAAAATGATACAGCCTGATAGATGAACGTCAGTTTACTGTTTAAGGTTGTTGCTAAAGACTGCAAGCTTTTGAAAAAAGCTATACTTGTATATTAATATACTTTGACAATATCACACAAAATTTTTTAAAAAATACAGATGTGCACTTTTTTGAAAAAAAGTTTTGAATGTAAGTGAAATTAAAATGGATGTTCATTGAACTGAACTGTACATGGTATAATTACTAATTTAAAGTGCACAAAAATGTTCCCAGGAAATGATTCAATTTTCTTAGCTGTTATTTTTTTTACTCACCAGGAGGTCCATGGATTAGGCTAAATGTAGAAGTAAGAGATTTTTTAATTGCGTTTTTCTGGAATTCATTGTTTGGCACAATGTTTGGAATTTTCACTTCCACATTCATTCTAGACGCTATATCGGAATACCATGAATCTAGAATAGAAAAAAGGTCTAAAAATGTTGTCGAATAGTTCATTATAGAATTTATAACAAGAAATGAGGAAGCTATACGAACTTAAACGTATGGCTCCTTTTTGGTTTAATGCAATCTTTTTGGCAACGTCTGTCGATTGGCTAATACATCCCAGAGCGACTTGAATTCGTCTACAATATATATATATATATATATATATATATATATATATATATATATATATATATATATATATATATATATATATAATGTGTTTTTCGCTAAAAAAAAAAAAAAAAAAAAAAAAAAAAAAAGACTCACACACAACTTACGTGTCTGTCTCTGATTTTGGAATGATTTCTATTGTACAGGGAGAGGGATTGTGGGTATAAAGCATGGCGTCACTGGGAGCACAGCTGTCAGGATGAAGCTTGAAATGAACTTTCAAAACAGTTTTTGAATTTTTTTGCCGTCCATTTTCTGCCCCAGACTCCGACTTTGGCTTCTTGTCTAACTTTTCAACCCTGGTAACTTGAGCATGAAGTATACAATAGTTTCGATCGTTTGGATTGTAGGACAAAGAATAATTTGTTCCAACTGGCTGATTATTCATATGCTTTGATCGAATACACAAAAAGCTGGTATTATTAAATTCTTTTCGATCGGGTTCATCTTCCCCTTGTAAAACAAATTTCTCTGACATGACGCTAAAATCAATATCTCTTTGATCGGTAAATCTTTTATGTAACATAAAATGCCCAATACGTTTAGATTCAAATGTAACTTGAACGTTATTAATTGAAATAGAATCATCATCGACGGCAGACGTAACTGCCTCCATTTCTACTAACGGGAGCCAAATACTTAAATACTTTACTGGGGATGGGTACATCTGTAATGGCTTTAATGAGGAATAACTAGAAAGAAATTTAATTGGATCACGAGTGTGTTGTAGGCAATAATTTATGCTTGAGGTCATATCGAACAATTGTAATGTTGGAGAAAATATTCCTCTGTGGGGTTCTGCAGAGAGCTGAACACAAAAGACTTGTCCCCGTGTAAAAGTCATGCTATATTCACAGGCTTGTTTAATAACATTACCACTTTCGACCTCAGATGTGTGGTCAAACACCGTTTCATGACAACCATCAATAAAGTTATATCCATCTCCTAGTAAGTTTAAGTCTTCGGTCCCTCCTTCCAGAAGAAATTGTCGAAGTTCTGGAAGTTTATTTTTTATAACCGCCGAAAGGAATATTTTCCACGTTTCTTGTGGTATAAATTTTGTTGTTAAATTTGGATTTATCTTTTTACTAAAAGTCTCTCTTTCTCGATATGATAACTTTTGCCAACTGGCGTTTGGTTTTCCATTTACGTCATAAAGTCGTCTTAACCATTGTAGAACTAAATATTCGTTTTCGTGAAGCTCCATGTTTTTTGGTTTACTGGACACTTGTAGTAAATTCAAAGGGAGTTCTTTGCAGTACGTTGGTAGTGATCTAAAACCTGGAATAATTATCGATACTGACTTATCCGCTAGTTCTCTAACAATACCATGCATTACTTTTGGAGTCTTTTTCAAGTGAAGACCCCAAAACATCATTTGGCATTGCTTCTGAAATTGTTTGGCTCGGCGAATATTACTGTTGAATCCTTCACAAAGATTTGACACATCCTCTACTGAATAAGGACATTCTGTGTTTTCCAGCGCTGCATGAATGAGACGATTAATAACTATGTCCGGGTATCTTCTTATAGGTGACGTGAAGTGCACATAAAAATTCATCTTTAACGAAAAATGGATAATTTCATCCGCGTTTTTATTTGTTCCGCTACATTTGTAGAAAGCAGTTTCTTGAAATGATATCCAGTCTTCCAGAGCTAAGCATTGCATCGGATGAAGTTCGTCTGTGCAAATTAGCTTTTCTGCTGTGTCCAGATCGTTGTTTTTAATATTTTCGAACAAATTTTCCCATACCCATTTCTGAATTGCCATGACATATCTATATCTGAGAACATGACTTACTTGATGTAAACCTATGCTCTCTTGGTCCTTTTGCGTATGAATACCTTGCAATCGGAGCACCATGTGTACAACTGGACTATTTTCGTAAATCCATTTTTCTATCAAATCCCTTGATGGTGCCTGCTGACAACGTAATGGTATCACTTCAGGAAATATTTCCTTCAAAAATTGCGCAACTGCAACGTTTGCTAATATCATGAATTCTTCAACAAGGTAATGTGCCTCTCTTGAAGTCGACAATGTTGCTATCGCTTCGTTCAATTTAGTTTCAATTGGTAAAGAAAACATGGCAGTTTGAATCCTTGCAAATCGGATAAATTTGGCTATTTTAAAAAGCAATAAAATGTCTTCGTCCAATTCCGACACTGGACCAACATTGTTCATTATAATATTTTGTACTTCTTCATAGGTAAATTGTTTTGATGACTTTACAATAGTTTTCTTTATTTCAAAATTTTTCACCATTATCCCTTTCTTGTTTACAGTGAAGAAAACAGTGATTGTAGGTCTTGGAACCCCTGGAAGTATGCTGCATATGTTTGAGGCGAATGGTTCGGGTAACATGTGGTAAGGATTAATACCTTGTCCAGGATAAAATGTGCAAGATCTCTCTTGGGCCTCCAAATCTATAGCGTCATCTTTCTTTATGACAGCTCCAACATCCGCAATGTGAACCCCTATGCGGTAGTTTTCACCAACCCTCTCAATACTCAGTGCGTCATCGAGATCTTTGGAATTTGTTGGATCTATGGTAAAAACTCGCAAAGCAGTCAGGTCTTCTCTATCTTCGTCACACCTTTTCCTTTCTGTGTCCAATGCACGAAGAATTTCTTCAGTTTCGGCAACCGTATCTCTTTGATAGTATTTGGGCACTTGGTGTTGAAGTCGAAGAATTTGTAAAGCAGAGGACTTGCTTTCTTCGATTCTAATGACTTTGATAACTGCAGCCAATGGATAAGGATGGAAATCAGTCCATCTGATAAATACGACCAGGAAAGTAAAATTCGTTATAGTTTTTGGATCAATTTTGAATTGACTCTGAACTTTAATCGTTGAGGAAGCCTTGTCGTACTTATGTACAAGAATGATGTTGGGATTTCTGTAATCGTTAATTATGTTCAGTTTTGGAACTGTTTTACACACAGGTCTCACAAGAAAGTTTGAAGTTTCGTCTAACACACAGACAAAAACTGGATGTGCAATATCTTTGTAATTCTTCCTTTCAAAAATACCAACAACTCTTCCATATATTCTGTGCAGTTTGTTGTTTCTATTAATGTCTCTCTGATATCGACTTATGAACTCTTCTCTGTACTTCACATAATTGTATACTTCTACCAAGACAATATCCCCATCAAAAACTCTTCCAGCTTTAGATCGTCCAGAAATCTGAATTTCTTCCAAACCATCTATATCGGGTAGATCAAGGATGTTGCAAAGAGATTCATGAGAATTTCGTACGTTGAATTTGCAACGCTTAAACCGATGTGGATTGTCTTTCAATTTCTTTTCCAATATTTCCACTGAAGACATTTTATCGTAAAAAGGTCTACCTTCCTTTTCTTTGAACATTTCTGTGTTTGAAAGTTCAAGTCCATATTGCATAATGTCTTGCTGCAAAACCCTAGAATGTTCTTCCTCGCCACCAGAATATAGCTGTCGACTTTCTTCAAATCTAGAAGCCGCAAATTCGTTTTCTTCAAAATCATTGTCAGAGGCCGAGTCGCTATCTGCAAAAATGCTATCATAATCCTCTTCACCAAATACTGATTCCGAGAGGGAACAACGCCGAGACAGATTTGGGGACGCTATCCGTCTTGAACCAAACCGCAGTGTATGACTATCTAGGATGGAAACCGTTTTTGTTAGGTAGCGCAAGAAAAAAGACCAAAGTCCTTTCAGATAATTACAGAGAACATAAATATATAAATTATCTTAGTTTGCATTTTATTACTCTGCAAATGATTTGTTGTAGTTTTCCAGGCCCACGGCGAGAAATGGTCTACTCAGTTTATTTAGATTTCATTATATGAAATTCGTCGGTAGAGAATTTTTGCCAGATTTACTCTTTAACTTTTCGTGCAGTGTCGGCATTTCATGATATATATTTTACTGTAATTGGCCAGTTTAATATTAAGAGTTGTAACTTACGTATACATTTGACTACTTTACCTTAGTTATGTATAGCATTTATATAAAAACTTTCTTACGTCGAAAGGTATAATTTAACAATGATTTCTCTTTTACCTTATATATCTAGGTCATAAGATGTACAAATCATAATATCCATTGTCAAAAAACCTTCTACTTTCTTTCTATCTATTTCGAAGAATCCCAGAATAGAGTGCTTCTGACTTTAGTTTTGGCCCATTGACATATGATTTTTAAATGCAATGCATCATTAAAAATCTATGTATTGATCTGCTTTTGTGTGTATGAATACATGTAGGTTTTTAATAACACTATGCAGATATCTAGTTATAAACGTTACGCAAAGTAAATTGTTATCTGGTTAATGCGTGCAACAACATAAGAATGCAATTATTCAGTTTGAGTTTTTTTTTCTCACTTTAATAATACGTGATATACTATCTCCGATACTTTATCATTCTTATCGAATACCAGTAGATATGAGGAAGTGAAAAGTCCACGTAAACAATTAATCATATCTGTATTTGTGTGATGACTATATCTCTGTGAAATTAATTCAGTTTGTTATCTGTAGTTTGGTACTCCTGAGAAGAATAAAACTACTGTTTTTATCTTTGTTAAGTACACAGTGAGATCTTTACAAAGGAATAAATAAAATCTTAGGAAATTATACGGCATATTAAGACTGTGTATGAAAATCTCCTTTACAGGAACCACTGGGCCAGAAAAGATGAAATGTGAAATTTTCCTGACAATGTATAGATTAAAGTTTGTTCAAATCATGCCCCCAGTGTTTCTCTCACAGGAGTTGATTAGGATAATAATCATTTTCTGAATCAAATTTATTGATTACATCCCTTTGTTCACTACTTCGCATAGTTGTTAGAAAGATTAATCTCCCTTGCAAGAGGAAAACATTATGAATGACATGTATTTTTTTTTAAATGAAAACACTGGATTTTAAAATTAGAACTTTTTTGTCACGCTGGTTTAGTATTTTTTTTTCTGATAAGTCCCTTCTGTGATAAAAAGGATCTTCAACACACAGAATAGGATATTCCATGAAATAACTAGTTTTTTTTAATAATCAACATTATTTAAAACTATAGAGACAGAATCTGATGCATGCTTACAGTCATGATACCATGGTTCTGTTGTAGTTCGAGAAAAAAAATTGGTTTCGCTTCTTAAAGCAGAATTATTAAATTTAAACACTACGAAAATATTAAATTAGCAAATAGTTATATTTGGAATACCTAAGACAACTCTTTGTGCAGTTATGTGGATTGACGTTGATTTGACCGAGTTTAATTAGTCTGTATTTGAAACCTTCATATCAAACTACAATTGCTTTCAAAACACTATACCCTAACACTTCAAACATGATATTTCTTCATTATTTATAAACATTTTTAAAAATATTAAAATACTCACTGCTTCGAAAAGTGCTTTTAAAGCCTTTTTTCCTCTTTCCCGGCATTTCTTGTCACCTATCAATCCATTGCACTCAACTGTCACATGTACATAATTATCTATCCCTACTTTCTTTTTAACTTCTTTGTTAAGTAATCGTCTTTCGGGTGGTTTTATTTTGGCTCGCTGCCAAATGTTCTCTGAAAATGGCATAGTTATTTTTAAGTCTGGCGTATTCCCGGAATAAACATGGACTTTTGGGACTCTCGGGGATCGGCAAGGCTAATATCAAACCTCCCTATCCTCAATGGAAATTCATTATAACTCATACCTTTTAAATTTTTAAAAAGTACAATTTTAGTTCATTCCTGGAACAAATCTGATTTAATTTTTTTCTTCATATTTTCCCTTTTTTTTACTTTATTTATAATATATAACTAACATGAGATATTTCAAAAATGCAATACCCTTTAATCGATATAAAAGTTGCATGTAAGTATTATCTGAAATTTTATAGGATAATAATTAAAACAGTAATACTTTTAAAAATTCAGAACTTTCGTATATTATTTCAATTATTATAGTGGTATATTTCTGCCCCCTTAATGCAAATTCGTTTCATAAACATACAGGGTATACTTACAAGATACACTGATAATTTTAACCTCAGTGACATTGCTTGCTTTCTTCCAGAAGATGATCATGTCAGTGAAGATAAGGCTTAACATTAAGTAAATAGTTTAGTATTTTCCCCCAGATACCAGAAAATACTTTTGAAAGATAAAAAAAAACAATTAAAGCAAAGCAGCGATATTTTCCACGAACACTTACATTACTGATTTTGTATGACTATATATTTTATGTAAATTTCTAAATTACATATGAACAAACATTTATCCTACCTTTCTTCTAACTTCTTTGCATGCCCATGCTTTGCTCTGAGTTCTTACTGATCTTTTACTTTTCCCTAATTCTTTAACTATTCTTTTGTTTATGCTTTATGTTTCTTCCTATCTCACGATTCACCCACTTTATCATTGCACTATTCTTTGGTTACTCAAGCGTTATACTGTATGAATGAAGTCGACATTCCCGTCTGCCGTCGCTGCACGAGAATCATCTTTCTTTACTTCTTTAGATTTGACGTCTTAGATCATGGGTAATGATCTAATGACATATCGTGCAGCGATTGGAAATTATTACTCTCTGCGTCACAAGATAATCATTCGGAGAAAAAGATTTTTTATTCTAAAATTCGGCAAATTAACAAAAGAAGTATTATTTTTCCTTTTCAAGGTAGAGGACTTGATTTAGAGAAATATACTAAACTTTCAGTATATTTTTCTCCGTATGACTTTGCTTTTGTTATGTAATAATATTGCGGAAAACCCTGGTGCAGAGTTAAATGTAAGTGGTCTGTCAACTTTTCATCTGACTGTAGAAGTATACGACACAAATTAGACAAGATAACTAATTACTTTGAATTCTCCCTTTAGATTAGATAGAACTAGTCATGGCCGTGGAATTCTTGTTCATATATGAGAAGGCTTTGAAGCTCTGAGACGGCAAGATCTTGAAAATGCGTTTGACGAAACAATTTGGGTAGAAATTAAGCTAAAATCAAAAAGCAGTTTATGTACTATTTATAGACCTGATCATGAAACACCAAAAGCTTTAGATGAATATAATAATCTAGTATTAAATGGGGACTGGAATATAGATTTCAGTAAAAAGTTTCCTAGTAAACTTCCTAGTAAATTTCCTAGTAAAAAAGTAAAAAGAAACTGATATAATTATGACATATAACCTTACAAACTATATTAAGGAGCCAACAAGAGTGACAAATATGACATCAACTTGTATTGACCCCATACTTATTGCAGATACCCTTGATTGCCTTGAATCAGGAACCATGGATTTCGATAAAACTATAAGTGATCACAAAGCAACCTATATTATACTCAAACTAGAAACAGTGGTCCAAAATACGTATGTTCGAAAGATTTTCCTGTACAAAAGAGCGAATTTTGATCAATTTAGAAATGAAATGAGTGAAACAAATTTGAGCGAAATTTCAAATAGCGAAGATGTTGACGTCGATGTAGTAAGGTTTAACGAAAAACTTTCAGAATTTGTGAATGAACACGTCCCGCAAAAAAAATGTAGTAGTGAGACCGGACAATAAACCTTGGTTTAAGGACGACGGACCTAATTCGAAATTTTGCGCCACTGCGCAGAAAACCGCGCATATGCCTTGAAACAAATTGACTTAATCATGTATTGCAATAGATAAAAAAAATATCCATTTTTAATTCTTTTAAAGATATTCAAACGTTTCCTCTCAATTCAATAATATTGTAAATAGTTCGATTAATATTCATTTGTTAATTTTATAAATAAATGATTTATTTGGCCAAGGTATTTTCACTGAAAATTTCCCCCAAAATGTGCCCTACACTGAGTTTGACATGCCCCCCCCCCCCTGAAAAATCTAAGCCGATAACCCATTTATTTTTTGGCATAATTTGCTGGAAAATTGTCTTGTTAACATTGTCCGTCAATACGAATAAAAATTCTATTGCAAATTTTTTTTCAATGATCACTCTTATACCCTACACTGGCAATTTCCCATTAATTCCTATAGTAATTATTGATTTCCATCGCCATCTTTTGAAACTCTCCCTATTAAAAATCTTCATCGATGACTATATGATTTTTTATTGATTTTAACTCATCAAAAGTCACTTTACCTCATATTAAAATTTGAATAAAAAATCTATTGCAGATATGAATTAGGTGCGTCGTCTTAATTCTGAAATAAGGAAAGAAATAAACTTGCGTGAACAAATTACAAAAGCTTACAGAAAATCTAAAAATGCGATTGATAAGACAAATACCGAAAACAAAGAAATAAAGTCAATAATTTTAAATAGAAACTAGAAGAAGGATGCCTAATAAATTTAAATGAATCATTGAATCATTTAAAATTGTACAAACTCAAAAACTTACTGGCAGATAGTTTGCAGGTTGTTGAAGGGTTCTAAGCCATCACAATCGGTTCCTCCACTAAAAGAAGATAATGACTATGTATTTACAGATGAAGGAAAATGTGAATTACTGAATGCTTATTTTTGTAAAGTTTCTTCTAATGACAACACAGATAAAGACCTTCCCGAATTCGAATCAAGGACAGAGGCCAAACTTGAAAATGTTACAATATATGAAAATGAAATTATCGATTTAAAAAAGGCCTCCGGTTCCGACAACTTCAGTCATAATTTAATAAAAGAAATTGCAATCCCACTAGAAATTATGTTTAATAAATCCCTGAGAACTGGGAAATTTCCTGGTGTTTGGAAACATGCTAATGTAATTCCTGTTTTTAAAAAGAGTGAGAAATCAAACCCATCCAACTAGAGACCAATTTCCTTATTGAGTTGTATTGGAAAAGTTTTTGAAAGAGTAATGTTTAAATACATTTATAATCACTTAGTATCACATAAACTGTTATATAACCTACAAGATGGATTTATGCGGAACCATTCAACAGTTACCCAAGTAACAGAAATTTATCATAATATCTGTATTGTTTTAGACAATAAAGAAGTCACGTGCTTTACCTTTTTGTGATATTATTAAGGCATTTGACACAGTTTGGTTGAAAGGTTTAAAATATAAATTAGCAAAATATGTGGGTGAGGTTCTTGCTTGGTTAAATGATGTGGACTCTTAGTTCTCTCTAGACTATTTGCAGATAATACATCTGTTTCAAACACCTAAAACTTGTAAAATTTTAATCCTGATATGACCAAAATATTAATTTTGGGGTGTATACAAGATTAAGTATCCAATATACGTTTTAAATTTGACAATAAAGAAATAGTCTTCTACTCACTGTCATCTTGGATTTACATTTTCAAATTCTGGCAAATGGATAAATCACATCGATAACATTATTAAAAAGACTTTTCAAAAGAAATAGCAGTTCTTTGTAAATTTAAGTTATCATTGAATCGTTATTTTTTGACTAAGATGTATATTACATTTATCAGACCCCTATTTGAATATGCATCAGAAGTATGGGATAACATTTCTACACCTGACCGTGATAAGCTGGAGAAATTACAATTGGAAGCTGCATGTATTGTCACTGGCCTTACAATTTATGCTCCTTGCAAGTCTTTATATTTCGAAACAGGATGGGAAACTCTTGCTTATAGACGAGAAAAAGAGAAATGTTGTATGTTTAAAATAAAACATGGTCTCGCGCCAGAATATTTATTAGATCTATTACCCCCTGATGTCTCACAAACTACCCATTATGATTTACGTAATCGTAAAAATATTGCTATTCCCCAGTGTAGAACAAACTTACTAAAAAAAATCATTTTTTCCATCAACAATTTCAACATGGAATGCCTTACCTACCGAGATTAGAAACCTTGATAGTGTAAATCCTTTTAAAAAAGACTCTTTGAAGGTGAATCTTCCCCAAATTATTTTTCTTATGGTGATAAAAAAACGAACTCAGTTTTAACTAGAATGAGACACAATGTAAGCCTCCTTAGTCAGATTTATTTAACGTTAGGCTTTCAGATAACACTCAGTGTTCTTGTGGATACATCAATGAAAACATTGAACGCTTCTTCCTGTAAGAATCATGCTGAAATAAGAACAGAATTATTTCACACCATAAAAAATAACAAAGGAGCAATAGACCTTGACATAGTTCTATTTGGGGACCCAAACTTGAGTCCACAAAATAATATCAATATTGTTAAAGCCGTACATAAGTATATTAAAAAAATCGAAAAGATTTTTATGAATAACCAGCGTAACCATTCTGTATTTTTTACAACCCCTTCCTTCTTTCCTTGCACTCCTATTCCCTTCCTTTCTTAATTCTCTGCACCTTTTTTCCCTTCTTTTTTTTGTATTGTACATTTGTTGGTTGTACATCACGTGTATATGTTTTTGTCATTTTCTATGTGTTGGAGAGGACAATCTAAGTTGGAATAACTTGTGTCCAATCCCATTGATTATGTTTCAATAAAATATGTTAAAATCAAATAATTTTAACAGAATGCATTTCATTTACATGTACGTCAAACTGCAATAATGCTTACTTATAAAAAGAAATTGAACAACTCAGTGTACATACTTTTTGTATCAAGGCATACTAGTACTTTGCCTGGATATGCATTGGATTGCTG